GTAGGGCTTAGCAAAATTTAAGGTCTGTTACCAACTGTTGTCATGAAGTTGTAGAAAATTTGTAAGGTTGATTTTATCATGCAATTTTGCTGCAAATTCATAAGATGGTTTATACTGACATATATCATAAATGAATTTGTGTGAACAGAGTGATTTTGTAACTCAATGAATCTACCGCTGTTAACATTTTTTATTTAAGTACATATATTTTAGTATAGACAGACAGACAGACAGGCTGGCATAAAAAAAGACAAATTGAATCAGTTTTTCTACAGTGCAAAAAGTCATACCTGACTTGGGATTTTTGATGATCTTCTCAAAAGCCAGGGCTGACTCCAACATCATGGACTGCTGGCTTGGGATCATCTGCTGATCTATGGTGTTGTAGAAATGGGCAACCTGGAGATAGCATCATCATAACAACACTTACTGCATGGTTCAATACTAATTTATATTACTGATTAAAATATGTACTCTATTTCAGCACTCTGTTCAACTAAAAACCATAAATCAACATGAGGTTACTTCTTGTAGGTCAACATGAGTTAACTTTTTGAAGGTCAGCATGCTTGGCCCCATGTATTATCAGCTGTACCACGAAAAGTTAAAAATAAGGTAAAACAAAAATGATGAGTGGATTTACAAGAGAAGTCAGTAAGGAAATATACAAAGTTACCTGCTTCAAAATAACAGCATGATGATAGAATTTCTGAGCAGTGGCAGCAGTGTGCTGGATCTTGGCTGGAATGGCAAACCCCAGGGATGATAACTGACGCACTTCTCGCAGCAGGGTCACCAGACGTTCACTGTAGTTGACGTGCAGCTTGCCATCTGAATGGGACAGTTCCATTAACTGGCCACTGGTCTCTAGACTGTTAAAATAATAATAATAATAATAATAATAATAATAGTTCAATAGTTTCATGGTTCCAAAAACAGAATCATGGTAACATAATAATCTGTATAAAACATTCATTAGCCACACAAGTTATACTTAAATTATCACACCACTTCTTGTGCAGTGTTCAAAATTTTAAGTTGCATTTACGACAAAAATGTACTAAATATTATAAACCCTGTATAGAAAAATAACCAGAAGCACAACCAAGCATCTACCTGAGAGGTTTCCCAGAATCCTCGATCTGTGACTGCATGTCCCGGGACCACTCGTCAAACTGATCCTGACGCCAGCTTCTTAATTCGTCAAGAAGATCACAGAGATCCTTGCGGAAATTATGAAATCCTGACAGGTCTCCCAGTAGTGCCTCAGCAATGATGTTAGTTTCCTCCACCTGAAATAAAACACTGTGCTTGTCATTTGATGTCACTAATTATTCTCATACTAGTTGGGATTGTGGAGATATTAAGTAATTAGCCACCTATAAAGCTGACACTAGTTTTTTTTCCCCAATTTCAAGTAATAGTGCTGCTTTTTATTTTCTGAAAACATATCATGAAAATAATGTAAATTATCTAATTTGGTGCTGGTCCCTAGATAGAATGACCTCTTCACTATAATATAAATATGACTGTTGAATATATTGTGTAGTTTTGGAATAATGCAAAAAAAATCCTCTTTGAGTAAAAAATATTTTTCATTTTTTGAATGGCACATAAAATAATGTCATATCTGGGATTTTGCTTTGTGAAAAAAACTACATATTTACCCCCCTAACGCCATCAACATGTAATGTCTACTTTTGACGCCCCTACCCCATTGTTATGTCATGTCACAACCATTGTTATGTCATGTCACAACCATTGTTATGTCATGTCACAACCATTGTTATGTCATGTCACAACCATTGTTAGGTCATGTCACAACCAGCCATAGACATGTGTTTTCTAATCATTGATGAAAATCCGTCATCCTAGTGTTGTGTAATCGATATAATATTAAACTGGTTTTATCTACATAATTTGAGGGAGCTACTAAACTTTTGCAACATGATCAATAGGAAAGAGAAAACATTTATCAATTTTCACAAAGAGTAAACCCCCAAGTAAAATATCTTTTTTGTTTCTTCACAATGAATTTCAATAATGTTCATATCCAATAATAAAATCAGAATGTTTTATTCACTGTAACTTGAATTAAATACAATTTGGTTTCAAGAGATTGCAATTCAAAAATATTTGAATAAAGAAATTAAGTTGTACAAAGTACATAACTTGCCAAATTTTGACAATATAAAAATGAACATACTGCCCCAGTAAAAACAATATTTCTATACCAAGACTGTGTAACTGCCATAAAATGCCACCAAATTATATAGATCTATATTTAATTATTCCGCCCCTATTCCCTTCAACCCAGCATCACAATCAAGGTTTTAAATCTCCACTCAACAAGAAAATTACTTGGGGCATGCAACTTTTGATTGAAAATACAGATATATCTCATTTAGATAGTGGGATAAACCATTAACCTGTCAGTAGTAGAAACAAAGGTTTGTTTCTTTCAGAAAGGTGAAATTAATGAGAATTCCCTTTAAAGACCTGAGATATTCTACAGAAAGCTTATAATTACGTATGCAGAAGAGACAGAAATACCAGGAGATCCAAGTACTAACACTCTTATTGTCCTAGTAGTAGTTGCACATCTGTTACTCTTATATAGAAAATATTATATATATATATATAGTAACTTAAATTTTCACTGCACTGGACCTGGGTGAAATTCTTTAACAATATATTTCAGCATAAAGAAGATGGTTAGTTATACAAAAAGTGTCTGTGCTTGGATGATTCTTTTCATCATGGGATACGTCCTTTTTGCTTTCACCAGGATCAAACAAGAACCCTTGTTTAGACCTCTACCGTAAGTAGTATGCATTTTTCATTTATTTCTTTAACTTGTGTATTATTTTCCAAAACAAATTTATAGCAAACAGCCTCTGCAGATTTTAGCATAAAAGCAATAAAAAGCAAGAAAAATGTTTTAAAAATAAAATTTGAGTATCCAAACAGCATTTTACATTTGTTTTAATGAAGAAACTAGTCCTTGACCCATCACTGTTTTAATTTGGGCAACTAAACAGCATGAATAATTATCACCCTACATAATATTATGCTGGGTTACACAGACATCATTCAGATATAATTTATTGAAAAATCTACCTGAATTTTCAGACAAATTTCTCCCTATGTATTCCAAGGCGCAAATCAGGAACTTACAGCAAGCATTCATCACCCTTTAAAGAAGGCACCCAAAACTGTAAGCGTAGACTACAAAACAGAGTTATCCAAACTCACTGATGAAAAGTTTACTAAGACAGTGGATACATCACAGATACTTTTCAGACCTATGTCAGAGGAGCAAGCAGACGACACCACCGACTCCACTCCAAGCCAACAACAATACTGCCTAAGCGGTCTAAAGAAGCGGTCTATAGTCCCGTGGAATAAACACAGTAAAAGCTGTATCCCTAAAAGACACATTGTTTTTCTCAAAGTGAAGAAATGTGGCAGCACAACTCTATCAAGTGTTATTCTAAGATATGGTCTGCACAATAATTTGAAAGTTGCTCTCCCAACTAGCCACTCAGGGAGTAATTTGGACATACGGTCTCTGTTAGATAGATACGCCGCTGATCATAAAAAGTTTGACATTATGGCCAACCATGCAGTCTATAATCCAAGGCAAATCCACCAGCTAACTCCAGAGGACACTTTCTTCATTGGGATTCTGAGAGAACCTCTTGATCAGTTTAAATCAGCTTATAACTTTAATCATGTGGCTGGTCGTATGCACCTCGAAGGTAAAAATCAACTGAAAAATCTCTTCAAACATTATCCCAAATGGGTGCATGATCACAGCAACAGTATGAGTCGTTATTTAGGGTTGAAGATATTTACAAAAGAAGCAACTCAAAGCTTTATACAGAAGCTGGAAAAAGATGTCCACTTTTTTATAATTTTGGAACAATTTGATGAATGCTTGATCCTACTGAAGAGATTGTTGTGTTGGGAGTTTTACAATATTGTTTACACAGTTTTCAAAAATGGCACACAATATTCTGAGGACTATATTAAAAACATCAGAGATAACATGGATCCTTATGTTGTTCAAAGCCATCGGAAACTTAGTCAAGCAGACTATATTTTGTATGATTATTATAAAAACAAACTTGCCAAGCTTTTACAGGAACAAGATTCTGATTTCTACCAAGAAGTGGAGTACTTCAAGGCTTTGAAGAAGAAAATAAGTGAATTCTGTCAGAGAAATCCAACAAAATCCATTGATATACCCCCTTCAAAATGGGGTGATGGGTTTACAATTTTTTGTCCATGGGTGACTCTCTCACATGGCAACCTGATGCAGTTATTCAAACTGCAAGAAAAAGAAATATCTTCCACAACTATCAATTCTCGGATAAAAATAGTTCAGTGTAGCTAGAGCTTCAGAAATGTCTAAATGAATATTTTCAAATGGTAAAAAACCTAACACACAGGACTGAGCCAAATAATATATTATTATAATCATTATTATTAACAGTATATTGAGCTATTAATGGCTCACTGTCATGGATTGGATATATTTATCATTCATCATTGTTCATATTTTGTCCCGAGGTAAAGGCTGGAAACCAACTGACCAACTTAAGTTTATGTATAAAGACAGTTAATATGAAGCATAGAAGACTATTTAAGATTATCTTGACTGTACTAGTAAATATATAAATATAATAATTAGGAAAACATGGGACAGTGTTATTGTTTTTTAAATACTGTAACAATAGGGTCATTTTGTGTAAAGAGATGAAAGAAGATCTTAACTGCAGTATTCAAGGAGGACCATGAGTGTGAAGCAGACAGCTATAATATTAATAGAAATGGTGTACTAAATAGAATCATGGAAGAAGAGGAATCATAGACTTGCTGTTGTCTGGTGGGGAAAAAGTAAGATCTTTACTGGCGAAATGACAACTGAAGTGTAGGTGTTTAATTCTGATACTTCATCCTTCAAGGGTAATGTCCACCAAAACATTTGTGTTATAAAAATAAATGCATTTTCTGGGTCATTAATTTTTTTTTACAGTTTTCTTTAAAAAAAAATTTGAACATAGTTTCACCTGTTCACTCTTAATTTCTTTTTTAAATATTTCCTAAAAACTTTAACAACACTGAAAATTCTTTGTGCATAACTTATCAGAGACATCAACATTAATCAATTAAAGGTTATTATACATGTGTAATGACAAACAAAATGTGCTCACTTTACCAGAACAAACTTTCTGTAATGTAAGTATAGAAAAGTCTTTGTATTTGGGTGCTGAAAATCAATTGCAGGTAGAGAATCTATAGTTCATTTACACCTGTCCTGCTTCCACAGTCCAGTGCTGACCTATGTGGACAAGAATAACACAGACAGGATGGAACTGTCATCTTAAACCTTGCCATCTTAAAACTTGTAAATATATTGTTCTGCTTTCACAAGACAAAAGGTGTTTTAACCAAGTAAAATGTAAGTATATTATAATACATTTGTGCTAGTTCCAACACTGCCCATATAATCAATGTATCAGGGTACACTTGAGTACAATAAAGATGTATGGAATTATGCATATTTGTGGTGAGGAAATTTTACAGCGTTTGAGAAAAAAAAGAGAGGAAACAGTTCAAGTTTGATATAAATTTTTGTATATTTCATTGCCATTTCCACAAAAATGTGAAAGCACCATTTATACGATTATTTATGTTCAACTGATGTAGACAGTACATTATGTCTTGTAAATGTCACTATAAAACAACATTAAACAGTCTTTTTGCCTCTCTTAAGCTATTTTTGCCATGCAATATTTTTTAGTTAGGCGGGAAAATTTACATGTATAAGTTGTTTTGTTGTTATAATATACTAATGTCCACACTGTACAATAAACTGGCAAAATGGAGCCATATTTTTATACACAAACAACTCTTACAGTTTCATTCCAAGCTTGACCGAGCATGAAGTCCTAACCACCTTAATTGGTTGATTCAGCATTAACATTCATATTGCAGCTGAATACCAAGTTAACGTAACTGACTGAGACTTTCTTATATATACTGAGTTGTATGCTCTTTTTAGTACAAACAGAATGGCTACTTGTGTGAAAGGCATTGCCTACGTTTCGACCATGTTCGTCATTGGATTTGTCCTGTATGGCCTGACAGGGACCCTTCAAAAACCAGCATGGCACGCTCCCATGTTGTAAGTACATGCACACTCGTGGTAAATGTTTAGAAACTGTCTAGTGAGCCAATAAATTTAATAGAACATGTATTTAGTGCTCAATAAACGTTATTATTATTATTATTATTATTATTATTATTATTATTATTATTATTATTAAGCACTTGTTCTGCTTATCACTTTCTCAACAAACCTACCTCACCATATAACAATGTCAATTATCAAATTCTAGAACTTACACATTAATTTGCCAAGGTCAATAATCAAGGACTCCTGTAACAATTTCTCTGAGTTTCCTTTTAATTCTCTTAAACTTAGTTTATCTAAAAAATATCTTAACAAAAAGAACCTGACTTTTCAGCAAGACTAAAATGGTGCAATCTGTTGCTGAAGGAGCAACGGGGAAACTTGGGGCAACCAACTCACTTCAAAATGGAATTACCAATTCTGATAAAGATGACTATAAAACAGTGTCACCCAAAGTCACTGATGACAAGTCAGCTAAGATGTGGGAAGTGCTGCAGCTTCTTTACAACCCTACAAAAAAGGGACAACTTTCAGAGGAGCAAGCAGAAGACTCCACTCCAAGCCAACAACAATACTGCCTCAGAGATCTCAAGAAGTCTCTAGTCCCATGGAATAAACACAGTAAAAGCTGCATCCCTAAAAGACATGTTGTTTTTCTCAAAGTGAAGAAATGTGGCAGCACAACTCTATCAAGTATTATTCTAAGATATGGTCTCTACAATAATCTGAAAGTTGCAATCCCAGTAGGAATGAAAGGAGTTGAGTTAAACTTTAAGACCCTCTTAAAAAACTACGCCACTGATCATGAAAAGTTTGACATTATGGCCAACCATGCAGTCTATAATCCAAGACAAATCCACCAGCTAACTCCAGAGGACACTTTCTTCATTGGGATTCTGAGAGAACCTCTTGATCAATTTAAATCAGCTTATAACTTTAATCATGTGGCCAAGCGTATGCAGCTGAAGGGTAGATATCAACTGAATATTTTCTTTAAACAGTTTCCTAAAAAAATGCTTGACTATACAAACAGCATGTGTCGTTACTTGGGCTTGAAGAATTTCACAAAAGAAGCAACTCGAAACTTCATACAGAAACTAGAAAACGATGTCCACTTTTTTATAATTTTGGAACAATTTGATGAATGCTTGATCCTACTGAAGAGATTGTTGTGTTGGGAGTTTTACAATATTGTCTTTACAGTTTTCAAAAATGGCACACAATATTCTGAGGACTATATTAAAAACATAAGAGATAACATGGATCCTTATGTTGTTCAAAGCCATCGGAAACTTAGTCAAGCAGACTATATTTTGTATGATTATTATAAAAACAAACTTGCCAGGCTTTTACAAGAACAAGATTCTGATTTCTACCAAGAAGTGGAGTACTTCAAGGCTTTAAAGATAAAAATAAGTGAATTCTGTCAGAGAAATCCAACAAAATCCATTGGTATACCCCCTTCAAAATGGGGTGATGGGTTTACAATTTTTTGTCCATGGGTGACTCTTTCACATGGCAACCTGATGCAGTTATTCAAACTGCAAGAAAAAGAAATATCTTCCACTACTAACAAATCTGGGATGAGAATAGTTCAGTGTAGCTAACAGCTTCAGAAACACAGAAATAAACTTCAGACACAAACAAGAAAAAAAAAAATTTAAAAAATGTTTTTTACTTTTTTAAACAAACAAAAGCTTTTATCATACTAAGCCAAATAATACGATATTTAATAGAAATTCAATATAAAATCAGTACTCCTATATTTATGAGATCATTTCAAGGGTGACATAAAATTTGTAACATAGCACAGTTTAAACATTATGTAACACAAATGTACTCAATTATATTATCACATGATGAACAAAGAGTTGATTTTGATGTATGGATGAGACCCTCCCTATCTTTTATTAGATATCAATTGACTATTTCCCATGCATATTAAGTTTTGACTGTAGCAGGGTTATTGACTGGCAGACAAGGGAGCGAGCAAGTTAGAGAGATTTCCATGTACAGTGATCTTGTAAACTTGGTTTTGTGGTTGACCTGCATTTCTCTTTACACCAACATAGAGTTTAAGGCCCTGGATAAGGAATCTGAGTTTTTCCCTCCTTAAAACATCTGTAGTATTCATTACAATGAACCATTGGCAAGCATCCTGAATATAACATGTTGTGTTACAGTTGAATTTTGTGGTGCTCTCATGTGCTGTATCACACATTAAAATGTGATCCTTTGGTTTTTAGTCAGCAACCTCGCATCATCATCAAATCGTAATTACTACCACTGTTCAGGTGAAATTAACCCTCATGGTTGTCATTTACACCTGCAGACCATTGTGCTACAAGAACCATCATAGTCCTGTTACCTGTATCCACTACCACAGAAAATGACACCAATAAAAACACCAGGGAAATCATTACACTGGTTTGTTATGAAATTCACACTACCATGGTTACTTTTACCATGGTTATTTTAAGACTGAGAATCTTCTCTGAATGAAAATGCTCTATTCTTCTGATACTCTTAGTCCCTAAGACCCGAATTAATTTCACTATAAACATTTAACTATTAACATATTTCACTATTATCATTAATCACATAATATACACTTTATTAAAAAAAGGTACACATTAAATGATAAGGGTGAAGAAGATAATATGCAAATTTTGATATAAAAATACCACCCCCCCTCCCCAGTTTGTTCTTCCAATAAATTAAAGTATTCAAACATATTTTCATCAATAAGCAAATAATACTGAATCAAATAAAATCCAAATTTATCTATTGAGACTCAATTCTGATGAATCAAGGTGTCACTACTGTCTCAGTATTGGCTATACACCCAGCCTGCACACACCTGCTGTATTGGTTTCATGTGTGGGCAACTTACAATGACACATACTCAATTATTGTCAGTCTTGGCTCCCGTTAGGGCAGAATTTCACTTGGCCAAACTGAATGGCCAATTATAACGGCAAAATCATATTTTTTTAATAAATTTATGACAAATTGAATGTAATAACAATACTGTTACTGTCATACCCTTGTCTAAATCAAAAAACTGATTAAATTTGAATGTGTTTAAAAACGAGTCCAGTCATTATGATTTAACAATACCGTAATAAATGTGACAGAGAATCTGACTGACCTTTGCCTCCAGCTGTCTGACCCACACAATACAGTTGACAACCTCAGGCATGTTCTTTCCCTTGGGTGGGGCCTTGTCTCCTGATGTCCTCTGGGTGAAGTCATCCCTGATTTGCTTGATAAACACTGTCAATTGACCCAGCAGGGTCTCCCTGTAAGAATTCATATTGTTTTATCACACTGCTTTGATGATCATTTTTTCAAAAGAAAGCTTCTCCAGAATTTTAATGTGTTAAACCAACATATTTTAAATCAAGTAGGAGGTTAAATAAAGCATATCACATTATTAAACTGAGGTATACAATTTAATTTTCACACTCCAAAAAATTGAGGACCCCATTAGTGTTGATTATAAATTAATGACTCTATATTTTCTTTAACCCAGTGAATTCTTGTAGCCTTTGTATTAATGTTAATGACAACAAATATATATTCAAAATGTTCAGCCACAAGTAACAAATTAAAGTAGTGACATTCTAATAGTCTGAATTAGTACTGTAGTGATTACCTCTCTGCCACCATTTCTTTACTAATGCTTGGTCTCTTGATCAGTTCCTTGTATCTCTGGAACTCTCTCAGTAACTATAGAAGAAATAGATCAAATTATTGCTATCTTTTTATTATTTTTTTTATTTTACTATTATTTTATTTATTTATTTATTTATTTTTTTTTTTTTGGGGGGGGGTGCAAATAGTGGCTGCATAGCTACAGAGCCCCCACCCAAAGAATCAAACACAAACTCTTGAAAAATAAGCCATGAGGACAAAGTAATAAAATTATCCAACAGTGACATGAGGGCCGGGGCATCTTGTTTCAAATTTGAGAGTTCTATTTCAATTACTTGTTTTTTTATGTTCACAAGCATGTGATAAAAGCCAAAGTAATTTGATAAATAAAACAAAAGTAACTATCCTTAAAAGACCCTGGTAATAAAATGACAATGCTGAAGTATTTCACAGCCATACTTCCTGAAATATTAGTGACATGTGGTATGATGTAATTTTTTGTTGCTTGACAATGTGTAATAAGCTTTGGGTTTTATACTTTTTTTTTTTTTGGTTTTTTCATGTATTTTTAATTTTGTTGTGCAAAAACCAATCTGACAAACTGAAAAAAAAGCTAATCATTCTCATAAATATGAGTTAAAACAAATACATACCTGCTGAGAGTTAGCTTGCATGCTACGAAACTGTGACCTCAGCTTCCCAGCAATCCTCTGTTCTGCTGGCGCCATAGCTCTCTCGTACTGTGCCACGGCAGCCTTCCATAATGGCTGAGTATACGGGTTGTACTGCAGGGGGTTCAGCCCAGCAAAAGAACTGAATGCAGCTGCCGTACGGAGTTCCTCTTGCTCTTGAGGAGAGAGAAGACGGACAAGCTGTTCATGCACTGTACGAAGCGTGGTAATCTGAAATAAGACAACAGAATTAGATTGTATGGAATTTTGGAAGTTATATTCATTATTTGTTTTGGTTTTTTAATTTAAACATATCTGCAAAACTGAATCACATAACTTCATTTTTATATACAGAACTGAGAATATCAAAAAAGGGCATTCCTACATTCAATTTTTCTCAAAAATAGTAAAAAATAATAATAATTTTCCTTTAATTTTGTCTTTAACACAAAAAAAAAAAAGATTCAATCCCCAGAAAAAAAGGGAGAAAATTCCCAACCCTGTATGCAGAAGTCGAGAATCATAACTATTCTTATTCTAAAAGTACATTCAAGAAGCACCACCCCACCTCCTCCAGTCTGGCAGCCAGCTGGGTAAGATTCTCTGGAACAAACTTGTCGCCTTTCCAGGGATGGGGGCCATAACGTTTCCAAAACTGCACTGTCAGAGTTTCACATGCCGATGTCCAGCGCTCACAGACAGACAATCCAGCTCTTAGTTTCTCTTTGACTTTACTGAACTGCCCCTTCCATATATCCTCTTGAGCCAGTTTTCTTTGAATGTAACGCCCAAGTGCCCCTCCTATTAATGGTTATCATTAGACAAAAATAATATTATCATTATCTTATTATTTTAATACTGATGTGCTGACTTGTAATGACTTGTTAGGTGTAAGAGTATATCTAGGGAAATTATTTCCAAGGGTTCTTAACTTGTGAAAACAATGTTCAATGCTTAAATCAATAGTTTCTTTGAATAGCAGTTTTGATTGTAGTAATTAATACATATTCAATATAATTCTTGTACTTGAATTGACAAAATGATTTTTAACATGAAATTACATGGCAAAATATATAATAAAACAGCAGAAAAAACAAAAACATAGATGGCGACCCTTACCAATGACATCCATGAGGTGCCTCATTCTTGACTCTTTATATGGAGGATCATGCTCCGTCTGCTTCCAAACTTCATCCAATGTGTCCTGGGTCAGCTCAACCAACTCAAGACACTCAGGTAATGCCATAGAATCAAGGCTGGCAAAGTCCTTGGAGATTGGTTGAAACATTTCCTAAGATGTAAAAAAAAATTGAGACCATTTATTTACAAAGATATCTAAACATGAAAATATGAATACTATATTACTTAACAAGGCAGCAAAGCTGTCAAATGTACAGACAAAAAACAGAAAATAAAGATGCAAAATGAGTCATTTTGTCAATTTTGATGCAATAATAAATAATGCTTATAATAGCACTGTCAAACAACACTGAATTTTAATCATGCACAACAGGTAACATGGTCAATAACAGGAGCNATAAAAAGAGATTTAGCACTACCACTGCAAGGTTGCCAATTAACCCCAAAAACGATTACAACATTACTGAAATGACACAGAATTAATAAAATTGAATTTTCTTTCTGACTATCGTTTAAAATTCTCTACAATCTACTTGCTAGTAAATAAGACTTCAGAAGAGCTCTCTGAAAATTTAAATCAAATAGAAAAATTCATAAAGTAAAAAAAAAAATTAATCAAAAAATTTAAAATAATTGACTGTTATGTAAATACGGCCTCTTCAATCAGAATTGTTTTGTTACATACCACCTCAGCATTACCTGAAAGCCCTGTGCTCTTTCCTTGATCACGAGTTTGGCTCCTGACATGGCCACTTCTGACCAGAACTGGAATTCATCTGATGGTGTCAGGATTCCTAAGGAAAAAAATAATGCAAAATTACCAACTTTAAGGGAAATGTCACCTTCTAGAGCTTTTAAATGAATGACAATTATTTCTGGTCATTTACGGTCATTTTCAGCACATCTGATCACTTCAGGGATTAATGAGAAAAGCACCCTGGGGTTTATCAACTGGTTATGGTGCTAGTGAAGATCTCAGAATCAGTCAATTGCAATACATATTACAGTAGAGATGTAATTGGTGTTAAGCATTCTCTGCTGTGCATAAATGTTTTTTTTTTCTTTTGAGAAAAGAAAGGGTATAACACTGACTGGTAATGTTGATCTATTCATGCAAAGACATGTCAATATAACACAAACTTCAATTTGTGCAGATTTTAACCTCATAATTACAACGATATCAGCCCTAACCTCCTAAATATTCATTTAAAAGAAGCATTCAAAAAATTGCCACACTATGTTAACACTGACCTCCTAAATTATCCTCATCCGTGTCCCCTTGCCTTCCAGAATATGAAGCATCTTGTTTCCTGATCACACTACCCAGCCCAGCCTCCAGCTCACTGAGAAGGCTCTGGAGTTTAGGGTCAAAACTTTTACTCCACTTCTCATCCTAGAATACAGATTTGAATTGGCAATTTCTTTCCTGAAAAGTTTTCCTATAGCACTGCATGTTCAGCAGCCACAACTGTTCCATGATTTAAGACAATTCAACATAGAGAAATCATTATAAATGTAAAGAATTAATTGAAGTATGATAAAACAACATCCTCTACTTAGATAAAAAAAAAAGCAAAATCCTTTTTTTTTCTTTGACCTATTACACCCCACATATATGATGTTCTTACCTGTATTACACCAGGAAACATGAACTCATTCATAACATTTTACCTCTAGATATCAAAATTTGCTTCTCTCAGTTGCCTTACAATGGTACTGGTACCATTTTCCAGGCATTACAATTACTCCACGAGAACAATTAATAACTTCGATAAAATTTAATTTTCCAGGCAGTACAATTATATTGCCAGTACAATTAATTCTGCATTACAGATCAATGGCAATCAGTACCTTCAACAGCAGTGGAGCAAAAACTTTCTGCACAGCGTGATACAGTGCACTGACAGGAGAGTCCAACATGGAGGAGACAAACACATCTCTGTGAATGTTGTCTGGGGTGATCACATCAGGCTTGATCTTAAAGAAAACTATCACTTTCTCATTGGTGTCACTTGGCTCAACCTGAAGTACACAAGTAACAAAATCAGTAACATATAATACTTCTAGCTCTAATATATATTTATTTTAGTATGTCTGCTGCCAACAAACTATGAGATTTTACTTTAATAATGCTATGCCTATCTCATTTTAATATTTTTAATCCACAAGTTCAATATGGTACAACTTCAAAAAAAAAAAAAAAAAGAAAAAAACATAATCCCTTGATAGATAAATGCTTTTTTTATTATTTAAGCAAAGCAGTACATACTTGAAATATCCATAACACATTTGGATAAATAAACCCAGAAATTGAAAAACAATAACACCTCATCACTTTTCTCGGAACAAAATACCATGCATGCGAAATTGTTTTTGCCAACTTTGAAATACTGACAACTGAAACCTTACCCTATTACAAAAATTGACTTCTTTTCCTCCAGCCTTTGTCTCAATTCTTGCAGCCAGAATGTTGACATTCCCATCATCCAAGAAACTGTTCAGTTCTGAGGAGTTATGGAGATCTGCAATGCTGCCATCTGCTGGGCTGATACCAAAGTAATTTCCAGTGGTGGCAAGAATAAAATCTTTTCTCGAGTCCACTGCAGGCATTATGGTTGTTGTGTGATTTTATACTTGAATCAAACCTTTGGAAAAATAAACAGCAAAATGTGTCTGCAAGCATCTATTTGGTATGATATCGTGAATATAATTCATATTTAGTTTGATATTAGGAGTGCAGTTCAATTGGTGTTCTTATGTTATTCATTATACCACTGATACTTCTTTTTAAAACAGAAACAGTTTGTGATGCAAGTTTTCATTTATGATAAATCCAAACTTTTGATGTGTCTGCTGACGGTTTCCTCTGTTCATTCTAACAGGTCACAACTGAATTGCCTGTTAACAGTCTTGATAATGACCTGTAAGTTTCTCTAGGAAAGAAAGTCCAAAAGGTAAACCAAGGCTGACAATGCTTGGAGCTAAGTTACCATAAAATGAAAAGTTTAATCTTTCAAAAAATGGGCTCAAGTGAAAATATTTTCACATCTAGAAATAAGCATTTGTATCTGCTTGGTACAGTGAGCTTCAGCTCAGCCGATGTCCGCGTCGGCTAAGAAACTACTGCTTGTGGCTACTGGTTGGTTCCCTGTCCCCCTGCTAGACCGCGGTGACGGGCGGCAAACACTGCAGCCGAAAAAAAAAACAAGTAATGAAATTAATGAAAAAACACTCGTTACAGCCTTAATACTCACCTACTTTTCAGGAATACAGGCCTTTTGTCCTAAAAGGCAGATTCCCTTTCAAGGGAGAGTAATTTGCCTTTTTTTACTTCACGTTTCTTAAAAAGTCAATCAGAGTTTACAGAGTTGCCAACCACTAGCCGCCATGTTTTGCATTTCGCTCAGGAATGTACAAGCCTAGGTCCAATCTGTTAGATACGTTTTGATTGGTAAAAGTTGACCTAGTTTACTGTTTGACCAATCAAACGCGTTATTCTTTTCTGTCAAATATGGGTCAATGCGCAAGGCCATTTGATAACTTCCGGTCTTTTTACACGATGAGCAAAACTCTGATGGCGTTTCTATGAAAAATTCATTTTAAAAGTTTGTAGAGTGGATGTAAGTATGCCATAGTGTGCAGTTCCGAAATATATGATCATTTGCTGATGAGCTCCATGGTTAAATTTGACACACGAATATCAGAACGAATGCATTGAGAAAGTTTTTGGGACTTCGTCCCTCAATCTTGACTCAAGCAATCTAAACAATTAAAAATATTCTTCAGCTGTTTTAAGTACCAAATCCAGTTAATTTTGCTGATTAACTCTAAGCGTGAGAAAAGTGAATTCCCACACTAATGGCAGCTTGGTATTCTCTATTAATATGGCAGATTTTGTAATTTATTGTTTAATGTAATCAAAACATAGAAAGGGCATCAAGTATAAATTCTAATTTACTTATAGCTAAGACTTGTGTCTTGAGTATGTCTGTTTTACAGTGTAATTAATCAGTACTGTAATGCGCTATGCAGTTGTGCTTTTTTTTTTTTTTGACAACAAAAGCCATGTGCACACTAGGTCTTTACTATGTATTTTATGAAGCTAGCATTGCTTTGCATTTTGTTACTCAATGCAGTTAATGTGAAGCAAATCTGGAATGATCTAATTTGCATCAGTAAAGTTGCCCCATCTTGCTTTGGTGATTTCCTTCCTCCTTTGTTGATGATCGCTTGCTTTTTGATGTGACATGTTTAATGTACATGGTATATCCTGATTCTTGTCATATTAGAATTATTTAACCATAACATAAGGGATGCCGTGTTATTGCTCCGATGAGAGTAAAACTACATTCATTAATATGTTGACTTTAGCATGCTTCTCTGTAAAATAATAACAGGGCCAAATCAGTTACCCAGGTATCCCTGTAATAATGCTTGTTTCCTTTATTACCTACCCAAAGTGCAGACTGCATTCAACTTGATGTAATGCATATTTTCACTATATTATATACCAACATATTTATCATTGAGTCTGACCATTTTAACCATTGTCTGGACCATTTCCCTTTTAGTTTTGGTATTTAATCATGTCACAGACAGTGCTTACTGTAGTTGTGACTTGTCCTGTAGAAAAGTGAGGATTTCAGGTTGAAAATTAGGCAAAAGGTAATTAATATGTCTGTGACATGTTGAAAACAACATACGTACTAAAATAGTTTCTTTAAAACTCTCATATCTCTTATTTATCAAGAAAAAATCCAGATGTCCATGATATCCATTCCTCATATATTCCACTGAGAGGGTCTCAGATGAATACCTTGGTGCAGTTATTTTTATCGCCAGTAGAATGGGTAGTGTACAGATTGGTACTTTTAATATCTATTTTTATATATTCATTTAAAAAGATTGCATGGCAATGTAATGTAATACCTCAATTGTAATTTCATTCTAGGGATTGGTGCTGTATAAATTGACTCACCAGGCTGTCTCATCCTGGATTGGACTGACAACGCCACCTGTAGTGCTCCTCTGCATTCCAGGTTGAACTCACTGGTAAACTCACTTGTTTCTTTTAGTAAATGATAAATAATAATTTTAATAGGAATATAAGATGGGAGTTAATTCATTTGTAGTTAACTGTTCACTAGTTTTACTGAAAGAGTTTTAGTCAGACCATTGGTAACTTGACAGATATCAAATATGTTGTACTTGATCAGTTTGAACCAGTGACAAAAATGTTTGTTGTTATGTTATATGTATACATATCAACTTCAAGGTAACTGTAGGCATTGCTTGATAGTATGGCAATATATGTGATTACTAGTATATGCATTTGTGCAGAGTTTGCGAGAGCAGTTGAAGACTGGCTACCAAGGTATTGGTGTTGGGAACCCATGTCAAGACGGTGACATGCCCCCTAGGAGACGCAGGAGATCACCCTCGGGGGAGGACTCCAAAACCAAGAGGGCCAGAGTTGGACAGAGGTATGCTTGTATAAGGTAGACAATGTGGAAGGCATATTATTCTGATCATAGAAGATATTACCATTTGAATCAACTCACCAATGTTTAAATCCCTAGACACAACATGTTTTCATATGTGCACACATCTTATGGGACAAAGGTATAAATTCAAGTTATTTGAATGATAAATATCATTTAATTTTCCTTCACAGTTCATGTGATTTTGGGCCTGTCATTATTGATTAAATTTTTTATTCACGTATTTAGCTTTGTTCTGTTCTTTGCTTTATTATTTATGAAATTTATTTCATATATTTTTAATTCATTATTTAACTTTGTTCTATTCCTTGCTTTATTATTTATGAAATTTATATCATATAATTATGTTTGTAGTCACGGCTTCATATGATATCCACCTTCACCCAATTTTATGCTGATATTTCTCTTGTTTGTTTCAGCACCAAGCAACACAAAATCCAGAGACCTCTGGCAGAATACAGCCTTCCTTTTAATGGCAAGAAATGTATATCCTGGTTTCACGAGTACACAGGTGGGTGTGGGATAAGTTATGTGGAAAGATAACAGCTCCAAGTATGTACAGAGCTATTGTTTTAATAGCTTAGTCATTAGCTGCTGTAAGGTGGTATGCATTTAACAATGGCAGGGATAATTGTGTTTTGCTATTTTACCGTATGACAGACATTTAGTAACATTTCCTTCATCAGATCTTTGGTCTGGTTTTGCCAGTATTCAGTGGGATGTCCCTAGACCAGTTGTACCTTTGTCACAGCTGATCAGTTAACATACTAATTAGACACCTGTGTGTAATATTAACAGACTAATGGATGTCTTTAAGAGTAATATGCTTATTGTTACAATGTTCCTTGTAACAAGCTAACATGAAATGTAAGGACCACTATTGTGTATTATTATTATTATTATTATTATTATTATTATTACAAAGGTCCAGATGAGGACACCATTGCCCCAGAAGGGATGGAAAAGTTTTGTGAAGATATTGGTGTAGAGCCAGAAAATGTAAGTCTCAAATATATGACATATTTTCATAGAACATCATGTTTGTTGTTGATTTCTAAGATGCCATAACTTTGGAAGCTTTTTTTTTTTTTTTTTTTTCATTATTTGATCTTAAAATTGGGTTTTCTAAAATTATAGAGTTAATGTTTATTTTTGTTAAACTTTTGTATAATTTATCATTCTTAATTATGGCTTAGGATTATGGCTAGGATCTCTAGCACTGTGGTCTATTTCACTTGTCCTTTGCCATCCAAGTGTAGAAGTGTGGCCTTCTTTTAGTTGTAAAGAAAGTAGAATTTTTACCTCAGTTCTAATAACAAATGTTATTATTGTTATTTCTTTACAGATTGTGATGTTGTCTCTTGCATGGAAGCTGGATGCTAAAAATATGGGCTTCTTCACACTGGCTGAGTGGCTGAAAGGAATGTCAGACTTACAGTAAGTATATAAAAAATATGGGCTTCTTCACACTGGCTGAGTGGCTGAAAGGAATGTCAGACTTACAGTAAGTATATAAAAAATATGGGCTTCTTCACACTGGCCGAGTGGCTGAAAGGAATGTCAGACTTACAGTAAGTATATAAA